TTGAGCTTTTTGAAGAAAAACAGTAAAAGAGCAAGTTATTATAGTACTGTATGTTTAGCTGAGTGTTGCTATGTGAGCCTGAGCATTGCATCTTTCCATAGTTATCTCCTCATGCATGCATAAGAGGTCCGAAGGCTGTACTTGATGCCAAAGAAAAGTTGTTTGACTTCATTTGTCAGTGTCTTCTGAAGGTTAAAGAAGATGACAGATGGTTTTATGTGTTGCTTTTCAAAATTACAGGGACTCTCTCACCAGGTTCATAGGCTCCAGGTAAATTACTGGCCCATCCTCATCCTAGAAATGTTTTCTCCAAACCCTTTTTTTGTCTCCCTATTACAGGCACCCCTCCACCCTCCTGCCTCTACCCACTAGGTAAAGACTTAAAATTCCTCTTACTTTATTTTTTTCCCCCCTCTTCCTTTATTATGTAGAAGAATTTAGCTCTCAATCCTCACTCAGGCCAGATTCCAGGCCTGTGTTTATTGACCAAATCATCCAGGTAGCACAATTGGGGGGGGGGGGGGTACCACTCACAAAGAATACAACCTGAATGGTGCTCAAGGGAGCTCCTCTATGCATAGCTCTCACCCCCAAAATCCATTAAGGTGTTTTGTTAAACAAAAGAGCCATCTACAGTACTTGGGTATCACCATTTGCCAAGCTTTCAAATAATGGGTTTCTTTGTTTATAGTTTTTTATAATGGGCCTGATCAAATACATAAAGCCTTAAGTCCTGGCTTCCACAGTCCGCTGTGGCACTTTTCACTCTGTACTATGACACTATGGTCTATCTCCCCACTAGACTTGTGAGTTTTGTGAAGACTTGGTCATATTTTGTCTTCCTCACCTTGTATCCATGCCTTGACATAAGTACTTGAAAAGCATTTGCTGATATAAATAACAGCACACAGTACTCCCATGTAGGTACTAGTTTAATTGGCAGAGATTTGAAAAATGTCCCTCAAGTGTGTTGTTTGACCCACAGTGTTTTGCACAAGAAATATATTGAGACAAAAATTTTAAATTGAGAAATGTTACATAAAAAAAAAAAAAGCAATCCCAGTTTCTGGAGTCCCTTGAAAAGTTAGACGCTGGCAGACTGGGCACGCATCAGTGTCTTTATTAAGGTTGTACAGTGAGTTGGCCTCATTCACATGTAAAATCTTGATGGTGGGCGCTGAGTTTGGAGCCACTGGGATCATATGGTTGTTTTGGAGAAACAAGTATAAAATTTTGCCTTAGAGATTTTACACGTGCTCATAACTATGTATTCCAATGTATTTTGAGGTCCTTTTAAATTGTTTTTCTGGGGTAGAAAATTGTGTTGTACCACGTTGTACCATTTCCAAACAAGCCAGGCAAGTGCAGACATCAAATTATAAATATCATTATCACCAACATTTTAATAGAGTTATGGCTGATGTTATTTGTCAACTGCCTTGGAATAGAAAAGAAATAATAGCATATACTTGAATAAATTTCATAATAAGTACCTGTATGGAGTGTGATCCTCTTTCTTTCTTCTTCTGGATGGAGAAGCAGAAGCACAGCTAGTTCAGATAACTAGCAAGAAATGTAGCCAGATTAGAACCCAGGTAGTCTGTCTCTACAGACAGAGTCTTAACCACTAAATTAATGTTTATTGAGCCTTTCCCAGGTGCTATGGTCATGACTACCTCCCAACTGAAAGAGACTACCAGGTTTATGGAAGAGTGTCTATTGCTTCCAAGCCTTTTATAGGGTGCTGCAACAAACCCACACAGCTCCCTCTCATCTCGCTCCCCCTCCCACCCCAAGTCATACTGACATGTTTATAATCTTCAGTTTTGAAGTGTACAAACTGTCAGACATCTAAGACTTCCTTTACTCCCAATATAATTCTTGCACAAAGTTTGTTGTTATTGTAAGTTATTACGAAGAGTCCTATGCATGTGATGAGCAAAAGGCATCTCTTAAAGACAATGGAAGCAATTTGAAGCAATATAATATCGACACTGAAAACCAATATCTGTAGTCAAATTGTGCTTGTGTGGAGAAATGGGAGACAGTAAGGTTGAATTAGAACAAAACTGTCACATGACATGAATGCAGTGAAAGCTCAAAAAATAGACAACCTAAAAGGAAATGGTCATCAACTTTTAGCATTTTTTACATTTTATTTTTAATTGAATGTTGAGAAAAATATTGGAAGTGAAGTCTTCCTTTAAAAAGGTTTAAAGGATAAACTTCTGTTTTGGCCAGATTGAGCTGTTTCTCCGAGTCTCAGAAATTTAAGACATTGCATTTTACCTTCACTTTTTATTATGAAGAGATGTAGCTCATCTTATTCTGGTTCAGTTTCTCTTCTGCAAAGTATGCATGGTAAGTGCATCTTTATATGGTAGAGATATTGTGAGTCAAGCTAATAAATGATCATAAAGCACAGTTCTTTGAAGTATAAAGCACTGCATAATTGCTAAATACTATAATAATACTATAATAATCATCTTCATAATAATAGTAATTTTCAACCAACACATCAGCCAGACCTAGATGCCTTTACTCAGCTCCCAATTAGACAAAAGTGTATATGCCAACTATGAAATGAAGTGAAAATCTTAAACCACAGACTAGTTCCACTCCCCTCTTCTTTCCTATGCAGAATATAATGTTAGCCTGCCAGACACATCTCAGCTCCATCACTTGCTAGCTGTGAGACCCAGCTCACAGGAGACAGTCAAACCTCTCCAGCCTCTTTTTCTTCAACTATATAATGACAGTAATAATAATTCCCACCTCTCAGGGGTTGCTGTGAGAATTCAGCCTAACAGACTGTAAGAGCTCAATGAATGTTAGTGGTGATGATGACTGGCAGTAATATCAGAAAAAAAACCAATAGTGGGCAGCTATCTAACCATGCTTTTGAATGAAAGAGGGAGGAAAAAATCAATACTCTCAATTTAGGTGCCTCTCAATTACGTTAACATTTATCAAATATAAGCACTGTAATATTAAACTTAGAAAAAAGCAAAGGTGAAATGTTTTACTTTCCCAGTGTATTTGTTTGTTTTTAATAATTGTGCATGAAATAAATGACTATATTTTGGTTATAGATGATTAGGGAAAGAAATTGAGTAAAATAGAATGCTCCAGCTCACTCCTTTCTGTAGGTGTAACCATAGTTAATGTTCCTTTCCAGACCTTTTTCTGTGTTTTTACGTTCACTGAAACAAAACAGAATTACCCGATGGGTGGATGAAGTATGTACTTCAGGCCCCAGCAAACCATGACCAAAAAAATTTTTTGTAAAGAATTTGATGTTTTAAAGGAACCCTTCTGCACTGCTGGTGGGAATGCAAACTGGTGCAGCCACTGTGGAGAACAGTATGGAGTTTCCTCAAAAAAACTAAAAATGGAACTCCCATTTGACCCAGTGATCCCACTTCTAGGAATATATCCCAGGAAGCCAGAAACACCAATCAGAAAGGATATATGCACTCCTATGTTCATAGCAGCACAATTCACCATAGCTAAGATTTGGAAACAGCCTAAGTGCCCATCAGCAGATGAGTGGATTAGAAAACTGTGGTACATCTACACAATGGAATACTATGCTGCGGTAAAAAAGAAGGAATTCTTGCCATTTGCAACAGCATGGATGGACCTGGAAAGCATTATGCTAAGTGAAATAAGCCAGTCAGAGAAAGATAAATACCACATGATCTCACTTATTTGTGGATTATAGAGAACAACATAGACTGATGAACAGGGACAGATCCAGAGATGGAGAAACAGTGATCAGACTGTCAATTCCCCGAGGGAAAGTAGGGGAGGGTCGGGGTAAGGGGAAGAGATCAATCAAAGGACTTGTATGCATTCATATAAGCCAAACCAATGGACACTGACAACAGGGGGATGAGAACATGAGGTGGGGGGGCGGGGTAGAGGGGAGGTTAATGGCGGGATGAGGACAATAAAGAAATTATAGATAAATAAATAAATGAATGAATGAATGAATAAATAAATAAATAAATAAATAAATAAAATTTATCCATGTAATGTCATGGAAAAAAAAGAATTTGATGTTTTCATAAAGGTATAGACATTTTAAAAAATCTTAATTTGTTGTGACTTCCTTATATTTATTTAATTTTAAAATGGTTTTAATCTTAAAGTAAATAATAGGATATTATTTTATATACACCATCAGCTTGTCAGTGCTCAGGACCTTCCTGAAGATCCTAATCCAAGCTTACTTTATAAGTATATTTGCACCCATATTTTTTAGAACATAAATACATTCATATTGTTTTGCAACTTGCTTTATTTGTGTGCGTGATTTTAAACAGTAGTGTTTACTTAGCAGCAAACTAAACGAGAAAGAACTTTCACCACATCTGCCATTTTACTTCACTAAGAGTTATCTCCGTATAAGGATCCTATTAGAACAATTTGAGCTTTAAAAGCTCCCTTTCGTGGTACAGCAAATTTCATTTTCCATCACATTTTCAAGCCAATGTAATACAATCCTTTTTTTAATCGCCACAGAGTGTATGATGGGGAGAGATCCTGCCGACCAGGAGCTTTCTAAATGGTGACGATGGAGAGATGCCAAGGAAATTGAATGGTGCCAAGTGCAAAACCCTCAAGTTGCTCCCTACACCAACAGAAATCCATTTGGGAGCTAGATTTCACTAAGGCAGGAAGTATTTCACCTATGATAGAGCACATGCGGAGATTATATCTGGGAGCCAGGGACTAAGGAAGAAAAAGTAAAGCTACATTGTATTTCAGGAGACAGTAAGAAGAGAACATTCCCTGGAGAAAAGCCCAGTGACCTTTTGTGAAGGAAGAAAGAATGCTTAAGCAATAGTTCAAAACTACATGTTTTTACAATATTTCCCTGATAGTAAATAACTGCTGAAGTGTTGTTATTCTTTCCATAAACTCAATGCGCTAAGAAAATACAAATATATATGTAAAGAAAATACTGCAAATGTTTATTACACACTTACTGTGAACAAGACACAGTGGCTCAGGGGATACCAAGACAACGCATGTAGAGCTTTGTACCAGTGTCTGGCATGGTCATACAATACTTGTTTAATCTCCACCAACTGTGACTCTCAGTCACAGAACCTGTGCGCTGAGAAACAAAAATGTCAGTCAGGGAGATAAGTTGTGAACTCACAGAAAAAGGACGACAATACAAAGCATCCTGTGATCGATGCTGGATGAATAGCAGAGCCACTAATTTTCGGAGACCTCTTCCATTATTCATGGTCTTAGGGCCAAGTAAGAGGTAGAATCTGAACAGTGTCGCCAAAGATGTGCAGACATGATAGGGAAAGGAGGAAAATGAAAGGATCCCAGCTTTCACACAAGCATAGAAATAGGAAGTATAGAAGGACATCCAGAAGACACTGAGCAATCCCTTTTACTAAAACAAAGAGTTTGGGCCTCTGGACTAAAGGGTCTTGACCACTAAATTAAGATATTTGGGCATTGCCCTGTCTGGTTGGGCTCAGTGGATAGAGCATCCGCCCGCAGACTGAAAGGTCCCAGGTTGATTCCAGTCAGGGGCACATGCCTGGGTTGTGTGCTCGATCCCCAGTAGGGGGCGTGCAGGAGGCAGCCGATCAATGATTCTCTCTCATCATTGGTGTTTCTCTCTCTCTCTCTCTCTCTCTCTCTCTCTCTCTCTCTCTCTCTCTCTCTCTCTTTCTCTCTCTCTCTCTCTCCCTCTCCCTTTCTCTCTGAAATCAATAAAAATATATATTTTTAAAAAAGATATTTGTGCATTACCTTCAAAGGCAATAAAGAATCAAAGCTGGTTTCCTGCCTGTGAAGCAACATAATTAAGGTACACTTTTAGAAAAACCATTTATTTTTCATGAAGGAAATTTACAAAACACAGAAAGCATAAAAAATATATAAGTCACCTGGGAACCTATCACCCAGAAATGTTACACTTTTGATGGATAAACTTTAGAATTTTTTCCTGGTTGTGTGTGTTTGTGTGTGTGCACGCACATGTGTACACATGTTTGCGTGTAAATTGGGATTATGCTTTATTCACTCAACATTATTTTGCAAGTATTTTATTAAAAATCATAATTGTGCTGCATTTCATCCGATAAATGCAATATATTGTACTTACCCATTTTTCTGCTGTTTAGCCAGGCACAGATAACTAAAATTAACCCGAGGTTAACTTAGAGTGGTTTGGAATGAGGATAAGCTGAGAACAGGAGGAGCAGTTGTACGAAGCTATTGGTAAGGGACTGCTTGTATAAATTAGAGCATATTCACACAGAATAGATGAGTTTATAACTGTTATCTTGAAATAGAACTATTATTTCCAATGCTGCTGCTCCTGGTGTACTATTATGGAATAATTTCTCAAACATATTTTCTCTTCTCCCTAGTCCCTTAAATTTGGAGTGCTCCAAAGTTAGTCCTCTCCTCTCCTCCAACTATGTTTACTCCCTTGATGATCTCATTCAATCCCAAGATTTTAAATATTGTCTACGTGCTGGCCACGTGATGATGCATTATGGAAAGGGGATTTTATATGCAGAGGTAAATACAAGTTTTCTGGAAAAGAATTCAAAATTTTAAGGAAGATGGAGAAGAAGAGGAAGAGAAGGAGGAGGAGGAAGGGGGAAGGAGGATGAGGAGAAGGAGAAGAAGTTTGCTCCACTCACATGCTTTGCAATAGGAAAAAATACAAATACAGAATGCTGGCGTCCTGCTCTGGGAGGGGCCTTGGAAGAGAGGGGCCTTGAAGCTGGGTGAATGCTACTGCTTAAGCAAGGGCGTGGCGACAGGAGCAGAATGATATGAAGGAATCAGTAAGGGGACATGGCTATTTAAAAGTCAGAAGATGATAAAAAAAAAAGGGGGGGTGGTGGGTGGGGAAAAAATCACCAAATTTGAACCATTTGCTCTTTGACCTCTATTCATTCCAATATTTGTAGTGTAACAACCTGAAAACATCATTTGATTTGGGTTTCTGAAAAATGGTACATAACTCATTGTAAGCGGGACAAGGAGAAAGTCTCTGTGGGCTAATTAACAACATGCTCCCGAGATAGAAAGCAGACACACAGGCCTCTTCATTTTCAATACCTTTTCCACGTTCAAGTTTCTCTCATTGTTTCTGTTATAAGGTCTGCGTTTCACCAAGTAGCACCCTCAGCGAAAATTTGTCAAGAATTCTTTCTCTCCATATTGAAAAGGCCTGGCAGCTTTGAAATGACTGTAGCTTGTGCGCGCGCGCGCACGCGCGCACACACACACACACACACACACACACACACACACACCCCATTCTATGTGAGTACAAACATGTAAAAATATTTATACACCTCCCCAATCTATAGAACACCATTTTGGGGTCTTGAAAACAGTCTCTTTACAGATGGAGAGAATGTGAGAGAAATGCCCTCAGTGTGCTGGCTAAAAACTGTAATGCCTGCTCAGCACTGTGCCTCCTCTCATAACAGGGGATGCTCTGCTGAATGAGCCCTTGTATGTCAAGATTCAAAACGTTCTTGTTTGCTCTGGGTGAACAAAGCTCTCACAGACAGTGGGATCTGCAGGGTAGCCACCAAGTGTGTTAAACCAATGTTCCCTCCACCGCACTGCCGAATAGTTTATCGTAATGGCAGTTCTCACCTTCATGTATAGAGGCCGGTGTTCACCTCGCCGTCCTGCACAGAGCTCCCACTGACATCAAAGGAAATGACATAGAACAGAACCCCATGGTGTAAGGAGAAACAAGCAGCATCTGATCAGAATCAGGCCATATTTTTTTTTTCATTCTCTCTGTATAACTGGCTAGATTCATATACAGAGTATCTAAAGGCCACCTTTCACTTCAGCAGTTTATTAATTGTCAGACATACATGCACTTATTGGGGAGCTCGACACTGAACTGCTTATTACGTAGGAGGGGGAGGGAGGGGGTTGTGTTGTAGAGAAATCCATCCCAACCCCAGCCCCACGTTTTTCTTGGTCTACGGGATCCCCAAGAGACCCAAGTGACTGGAGTAGCTTAGTGGCTCGTTTTACTTAAAGCTGGCCTTGAGACAAGGAGGAGAAGGAGGAGAAAAAAAGGAGAAGCAGAAGGAACGAGAGGGAGAGAGAAAAAAATGTAAGCATGTTTAAATCTCTGGATAGGGAGATCCCTTTCTAAGCTTAAAAGCAAGTCACTAAAGATGAGTAAATTTAACTACAAAAAAATGAAAACTTCTGCATGTCAAAAATTAAGATAAGATCGGTCTAAATGGCAAATAAAAAGCTGGAGAAAATATTGGTGACAGTTTTGACAGGTAAAGGATTAATATTCTTAGAATTTTCTGCAGATTGGCTAAAAATGTAACAAAATAAGTTTCAGGTGGATAAAGAAATGTTTAACCTAATTTCTAAAAATGCTTAACAAAAATGTTCAAGAAGATTTCTAAAAATGTAAAATTTTTTTCCAAATGTTTTTATTGATTTTTTTTTTTTTTTTTTTTTTTTTTTTAGAGAGAGAGAGAGAGAGGAAGGAAAAGGGATAGAGAGGTAGAAACATCAATGATGAGAGAGGATCATCTATTGGCTGCCTCCTGCACACTCCCTACTGGGGATTGAGCTAGGGCATAAACTTTTCAAATTTAAAAAGCGGAATTTTTATTCTGCAAAAGGCACCATAAATAAGTGATAGGACAATTCACAAACTTCTCTTTGCAATGAAAGAAGGTATTATAACAACATATATTACATCGCTGGACCTAGACAAGGGGTAGGCATCCTCCTTACATCGCTGTTTCTAAACTTTCTCATTTCTTCTAACACTCTCTGTCTTGATTAACGTTATCTGATTATATACATCACTTTGCTCTTTGCTATACCCATCCTCCTACCCTGAGATTTCTCTTTCCTTTAAGATTTCAGCTGGTAATTCAGTCATTCCAATACTATTCTCACCATAATTCTTGCTAACGTCAATACCCACTTACTGATAGGGTCCTTTCACTCACCTAACTTCTAAAGTTTTTGTCCTTCTTTTTTCCAATAATGTTGACTTCCATCTTAGCCACTCACTAACATGGTCATGTCTCTAGAACTGCACTGTTCCATATGGCAGTTACTAGCATCATGTTGCTTTTTCATTTAAAATGTATTAAAATTAAATATAATTTAAATTTCATTTCCTTAGCCCATTATCAGTGCCACTAATGGCAACAATAATAGATAGCGGGTATCAATGCTCGGAATCTTGTCATTACCTATAACTGCAACTCTTCCATAATGTCAATATTAAGTATCACACTCTCTGTGATGCTCAATAATTTAAAAATTGTGTTAACTTTATTGGAGTCACATTGGTTAATCACACTATATAAATTTCAGGCTTACAACTGTGCTTTTTTGTTGGTGTTTCGTTTTATTTTTTATTTTTTATATATACATTATTTCAGAGAGGAAGGTAGAGGGAGAGACAGAAACATCAATCATGAGAGAGTATTAGTGATTGGTTGTCTCCTGCACACCCCCCACCAAGGATCAAGTCTACAACCCAGGCATGTGCCCTGACCAGGAATCGAACCATGACCTCCTGGTTCATAGGTCAACGCTCAACCACTGAACCACACCGGCCAGGCATGTTGTTTTTCAATCCTCACCTGAGGACATGCTTAGAGGGAGGAAGGGGGGGTGGGGAGACAGAGAGACAGAAAAGAGGAGAGGAGAGGAGAGGAGAGGAGAGGAGAGGAGAGGAGAGGAGAAGAGAGGGAGGAGGGGAGGGAGGGGAGGGGAGGGGAGGGGAGGGGAGGGGAGGGGAGGGGAGGGGAGAGGAGAAACATTGATGTGAGAGAGAAACATTGATTTGTTGTTCTACTTATTTGTGCATTCACTGGCTGACTCTTGTATGTGCCCTGACAGGGGATGGAATCCGCAACCTTAGCATATTGGGATGACGTTCTAACCAACTGAGTTACCTGGCCAGGGCTCCACTGGATCTTTTCTACCATCCTAAAAACACAGGTTTATTTCTTCCATCTTAAAAAAAAAAAAAAAGAAAAGACTATTGACCTCAGTTTTCCCTCCAGTGACTCCTGCATTTTCTTCCACCACCTTTTAGCAACAGTCCTTGAAAAAGCAGTCTGCTCCTATGAACCAGGAGGTCACGGTTTGATTCCTGGTCGGGGCACATGCCCAGGTTGCTGGCTCAATGCCCAGGGGGGATATGCAGGAGACAGCAGATCAAAGACTCTCTCTCGTCATTGATATTTCTATCTCTCTCTCTCCCTCTCCTTTCCTCTCTGAAATCAATAAAAATATTTTTTTTAAAAAAAGAAAGAGCAGTATGCTGCACTCCCTATCTCTATCTTCTCTCCTACTCTCTTTTGAAACACATTGATCAAGTTTTTGCCCTACACCGTGTCATCAATTCTCTTGTCAAGATCACCAAAGATTTCCGCAAGGCTAAACCTAATAGCCAATCTCTGTCCTCATCTGGTTTGACCTATTAGCAACATGTGACACAGTTGATCCCTCCTATCTTCTTGCAATGCTTTGCTTGACTCCTAACCTGACTTTTCTCCCTATCTTACTATTTGTCCTTCTCAGTCTTTGCTGGTTTTCTCTATCTCCCTGACCTCTGAACATGGGAATATATCAGTCTTTGAATTTCTTCTCTTCAATGTCTACACTCTATGGTAAAGTAAATGATGGTTTACAACTATTTGCTCCTTCCTTCTATGAGTATTGTGTACCCACACCCTTTGGATTTGTTGTGATGTGCCTCTTCTGTGCATAATATACATCCTGGTCCTATTGTAGGGCTGGACTATGTGACTTTCTTTCTTTTTTTCTTTTTTTAAGTGTATATTCCTTTTCATTTACTTATTTTTATTTTTTTATTTATTTATTTTTTTTAAAAATATATTTTATTGATTTTTTACAGAGAGGAAGGGAGAGAGATAGAGAGTCAGAAACATCGATGAGAGAGAAACATCGACCAGCTGCCTCCTGCACATCCCCCACCGGGGATATGCCCGCAACCCAGGCACATGCCCCTGACCGGAATCGAACCCGGGACCCCTCAGTCCGCAGGCCGACGCTCTATCCACTGAGCCAAACCGGTCTCGGCTCATTTACTTATTTTTAAATATGTTTTTTATTTTATTTATTTCAGACAGAGGAAGGGGAAGGGAGAGAAAGATAGAAATATCAATGATGAGAAAGAATCAATGATCAACTGCCTCCTGCACAACCCCCATTGGGGATCGAGCCCACAACCTGAGCATGTGCCCTCACAGGGAATGGAACCATGACCTCCTGGTTCATAATCAACCGACACTCAACCAGTGAGCCACACTGGCTGGGCCATCCCCGATTTCTTACTTTTGCTCATATTTCTTGCCCAATTTATCAACAAATCATATTAGTTCTACTTTCAAAATAAATCTAGAATCTGAAAACTTCTCACTTCCCATTCACTGGTGCCACTAGCGCAAGCTGTTGTCATTTCTACCTGTTTACTGTTATAACCATACCAATCCCCCTACCAATGGGTTGGTCACCTTCGTTTTCTCCATCCATACTCTCAGCTCCTAACATTACTAGAGAAAGTTCTTCTCAAGTGGGAAAACAAAATTAATCAGTAACTAACCAGCAAATACCCCCTGACCTCAGCTAGTCATAGTTACTCACAAGTTATCTTTTAATTTTCTCTAATCACTTTTTACCACCTCAGTATCACCTTAGTGCAAGCCACCATTATCTCTTCCCCGGAGAATGCTTTTTGACAGATACAAATGTTATTTTTCATGCTAAAATTTTTATAAATTTTATTGTGTCAGACACAATTCAAGAGCAACAGTTACAAGTGAACTAAAAAGTAGCTCTTCGGGGCACTTCTATTCATTTTACTATCATAAGCATGTTTTGTTACATGCACAGCAACAATAGTTATAATTTATAGAACTGTTCAACTTGGAAATTAAGTAAGTGTGCTATGCCCGGCCGGCATGGCTGGGTGGTTGAGCATCGACCCATGAGCCAGGAGGTCAGGTTTCAATTCCTGGTCAGGGCACATACCCGGGATTATTTGCTGATTGAAAGTGACAAAAACAAAAACAAAAAAACAAAACAACACTGGGGAGAACTGGCTGTTGCCTCCTTCACTCAGTAATTAATATTAGCATCACTAAACTGTACACAGCATCAGCTAGGAATATTCCTGACAAAAATGTTTAACTTAAATTGAAATCTCCAGTTTACAGGGAATGAGGGGTGGATGAACATGTTAAATGACATAAAACAAAGAAACAATCAGACAAATCCAGAGGTGAAAGATTAGATAGGGACCATGGGCCCAGTTCAACAACTCAGTGACATAATAAAGAGGGAAGGGAGCATTGTTGAAGTCAAAAGAGAATTAAGCCCTGGCCTGTGTGGCTCAGTTGGTTGGAGTGTAGTCCCACACAGCGAAAGGTCAGAGCTCGTGCAGGAGGCAATCAATTAACATCCCTCTCTCCCTTCCTCTCTCCCTAAAATTAATTTTTTTTTAAATACACACACACACACACACACACACACACACACACACACACACACACGTTCTTGGGTGAGGATTAAGAAATAATAATTTATTTTTATTTTTTGTTAATCTTCACCCAAGGATATTTTTCCATTGCTTTTCAGGGAAAGTGGAAGAGAAAGGAAAAGACAGAGAGAAACATCGACGTGAGAGAAACACATCGATTGGTTGCCTCCTGCACCAGCCCCGAACCAGGGCCCAGGCCGGGGAGGGGCCTGCAACCATGGCACGTGTCCTTGACTGGAATCAAACCCAGGACCCTTTGGTCTGCAGACCAATGCTCTACCCACTGAGCCAAATCGGCTCCCCTACCTTCCATTCTCTCTAAAAAATCAATGGGAAAGTATCCTCAGGTAAGGATTAACAAAAAAATAAAAGAAAATAAAAATAAAAAACAAAAGAAACAGGTGAAGTTTATTTTTTTTAAATGTCATTTCTTCTATAATTTAATTTAAAATACTTCAGGAAAACAAAGATGAAGCAAATAAGGCAAACTGTTAAATCTACATGCAAGTATATTGGTACCTGTTATGTTACTAGACTTTTCTGTATATTTGAAATTATAATAAAATTAAATGTAAACTTAGTGGTAGAAAGAAAGTGATAAAGGAGTAGTCTGAGATGGTAACTGAATCTAGTGGCTTTTACTGTGAATATGTTTATAAGCTGAAAGGAGGCAATATGGAGAGAGAGGGAGAACTGATTGAACAAGTCAAACAAGTGGGATAGGATAGAATATAAGGACAGGTGAAGAGTTCAGACCCAGAAATGCTGATCAGCACCCATTTCTGAGAAAAGAGGGGCAAAAAAATAATGAGTGAAGAGATGAGAGGATTCTAAAGTGGAGACAAAAGAAAAAAGTGGAGAAAGGCAATATAGGGAATGGCCTTTTCGTGGAGGAAGGTTAAGAAGGTTAGATCAAGAATAGTGATGGGCCCTAGCTGGTTTGGCTCAGTGGATAGAGTGTCGGCCTACAGACTGAAGGGTCCCGGTTCGATTCCGGTCAAGAGCAAATGCCTGGGTTGTGGGTTCAATCCCCAGTGTGGGGTGTGCAGGAAGCAGGCAATCAATAATTCTCTTTCATCATTAATGTTTCTATCTCTTTCTCCCTCTCCCTTCCTCTCTGAAAAAAAAAAAAAAAAAAAAAAAGAATAGTGATGGGAGACCAGCTGGCATGGATCAGTGGTTGTGCATTGACCTATGAACCAGGAGGTTGTCGTAAAATGCACAGTTCCCAGTCAGGGCACATGCCTGGGTTGAGGGCTTGATCCCCAGTGGGGGATGTGCAGCAGACACCCAGTTGATGATTCTCTCTCATCATTGATGTTTCTATCTCTCTCTCCCTCTCTCTTCCTCTCTGAAATCAGTTAAATTTAAAAAAAAGAAGAAGAAGAATAGTGATGGGGATTTGAGAATGAGAAAGTTCTGAAAATGATGCTGGATAAATTCTGCAGGAATGCAATGCTGAAGAGAAGTGTTACCCAGATGAAGTTAGATAGCATTCATTTATAGAGAACCCAATCAGCATGATTTTTATGATTTCCTTTGGAGATGTTCAAAAATCTGGAAATGATAGGAGGGATAAATGCTGATGGAAATATATATATATACATCCCTGACCAGTTTGTCTCAGTGGTTAGAGCATCACCCTGCAGACCGAAGGGTTTGGGGTTCAATTCCCGGTCAATGACCTGTACCTTGGTTTCGGGTCACGCAGGAGGCAACCAATCGATGTGTCTCCCTCACATGGATGTTTCTTTCTCTCCCTCCTTCCCCATCCCTTCCACTCTGTCTGAATATCAATGGAAAAAATATCCTCGGGTAAGGATTAAAAAAAAAACCCCAAAAACAAATACATATATTTAAATCTGGAAATGGAGGAAAACCACAGAATGCTAGGTTTACCCTAGAGTGGAAGATGAAAAGGTGATAATCCTACAAATTAAATGGGTGATTGTGGCTGTTTCTAGATTTTAAATTAGAACTAGCAACTAGCGACTTATAGGAAGCCCCCGGTATAACATAAAACATTGAGCTTGCTCACAACTGGCTTTGGGTGAGACTGGAAGGGTATGAATAGATTAAAACAAAAAAGGCTAAAAGGAATAGAAAGTCGTTAACTGTGAAGGAAGGATTAATGGGAGTGAAGGTGTGGAACAAGTAGAGGAAATAAACTGTAGTCAAGTCAGGAAGCACAGAGGGAGAAAGTCTGGAGAATATAAAATTTCAAGTGATGGTGAGGTCCCAGGCATGGCCAGGCGATATGTAACTGAAGAAGACGCTGTTAGCCAAGTTATTAGATGAATACTAGAGGCCTGGTGCATGAACTCATGCACTGGTGGGGCTGATCGGGCTGGGCCGGCCGGGGGAAGGGGACACGGAAGGTTGGCCAGCCGGCCTGCCCCCAATCAGGGCGTGGGGTCGATCCAGGGTGGGGCTGGCCAGGGGAGGGGCT